CTACAGATTTTACGCTAAACCTATTGTCATTCAACTTGGGTCTCAGGACCAAAGTTGGTCTTATATAATTTTTACTGCTTCCTGTATCCAATAAAAAGTCTAATGTCTTCCCGTCCCTCGTTTTGACTTGAAAGTATGGCAACGAGGAACAGTTTAATCTAAAAAATTCATATCTATGAAGTTGGCTGGAATGTCATCGGGGTTACGTTCCTGGTAATCGTCCGGTATTATATCCTGTTGTCCGTAATTCCCTGTGTCATTTTCGTCTACTGGCTGATAGTCACTGTTGTCTCGGTAATCGTCGATATTTGGGGATTGGTTCTCAATATCTGGGTATTGATTATCCACGTTTACATAAAAATTACGCTGAATCTTATTCATAGGAGTCTGTACCGAAAACTGGGCAGGTCTTTTAAAATTCTGGTTCTGTTGGGGTCTTACTTGTATTGACCTGTCAATATCCATGGGTTCTGGCTTACTCTGGTTATTGTAAAATTGTGAGGGAAATTGCCTAAATTGGTTCTGAGGAAAATTCTGGGTTCCCGTATAAGGACGAGTGATTTGGTGTCCTCCCATCTGATTTCGTTGCAAGAATTGCTGAGGACGATGAGCAAATGGTTGTCCCCCAAACTGAGGACGCTGATTCTGCATATTCAAATTGTTCGGAAATGGAAAAGCTGGGGATACTCTAGGCCTATGAGTCGGAATATTTGCCAATTCTGGGTAAAATTTCGAACCAGTTGACATCCTTAATGGTTCCTGTCTATGGCCTCCCTTCTGGGCATAATCTCTCCGAAATGCCATATTGTCTAGCTTCAAACAAAGATGTAGAGCCTCTGGTTGAGATGTAGGACCCTTGACACTGAGCAGCCTAGGAAGGTCGCCGTTCAGGCCTCTTATGAAGGTATCAAGTGCCTTCTCTCGATATGTATTCGTCATGGCTCTGAGACTACCGTCGTCCAATTCCAGGCAGGAAACCTTATCCAAAATTAGAGATAGTGTTTGATAGACGTCCTGATAGAACTCTGTGACACCTCTGTGCCCCTGACACAAAACATTCATTTGGTACTCTAGTGTACCTATATCTCGTTTATCCGCGTAGTGCACCATCAGACATTTGCGTATTTTGGCCCAATCCAATGGAGTCCTATAGGATTCTAAAGCTGTATCGGCCTCACCTATAATTTTCGTACGAATTGTATGCAAAATTGCGTAGTATTTCCCGGTACCACGAAGTGATGAGTATAAATCAATCACCCTTTCGACTGATTTCCTCCAAGAGCTGAATTCTCCGGGTTTTCCCGAAAATTCCCTCAAGGATTTCACTATATCTGGAACTTTGTCCAGTTCCTCCAGTCTCGAGGAGACTGTTCCTACCGGTATGTCACTACCATCGTCAAACGTTTCGTCTCGTCCGGCCAAAAGGTTTGTAATCATTCGTGTGATTTCATTTCTTTGTCTGTCCGTGAGTGCTGAACTACCTGATGTAAGGGTGTTTGCCCTTGTTTGAGTCTCCATGTTATTTGAAGATGGATTTATCGTAATTCTATTTAATTTTGCGGCAATATCATCCACTGATTCTAACATTTTTTCTCTTTATCAAAAGGAAAGGTGGAGCTATCAAAGTTACGTTATTCATCAGTATTGGGAACAAAAAAATATTTCATAGGTAACAAATAACTATAACTATAAAATGTTAGGAACTAAATTTGTTCTTAATTTGAATTCTTAAAGTTATTCTTACAATAGCAGCATCATTAGAGTCTGGAGTAGCATCCTTCTAGTACAGATGAGATGAGATGAGATGAGATGATCGTTTTTCTTAGTCCTTTCAAAGTTTTCAAAGTTTTGTTGTGTCCGATTTTTTTCACTTTTATTTATAAATTGTTAAAATATTTAATATTGTTCAAACAATTTTTTTATTTTAATTTTTATTTCTGTCTTAACTTTATTTTTATTTATATTCATTCAAACTTATTTAAATTGCTTTATTTTTTATCTCTTTTTTTTTTTAATTTCTCACAATTGTTTCTCTTTTATTTCTCACTTCATTTAATTTACTTTGCATTTAAGTTTTCACAAGTTTTTTTTTTTTTTTTTTTTTTTTTTTTTTTTTTTTTAAGTTTTCATTTTGTAATTATCATTTTAATTTCCTTTATTTTGATACTTTTTTTTTTTTTTTTTTTTTTTTTTTTAAATTCTCACTTTTTATTTAATTTAATTTACTCTGTTTTTTAATTTTTCAGGAGTTTTTTTTATTTTCTTTAATAGTTTTTCATTTTTCACAATTCTTGTATCAACGTTTTTATTTTACTTTCACTTTTTTTAAAATTTTTATTTCTGTCTTAACTTTATTTTTATTTATATTCATTCAAACTTATTTAAATTGCTTTATTTTTTATCTCTTTTTTTTTATATAATTTCTCACAATTGTTTCTCTTTTATTTCTCACTTCATTTAATTTACTTTGCATTTAAGTTTTCACAAGTTTTTTTTTTAAGTTTTCATTTTGTAATTATCATTTTAATTTCCTTTATTTTGATACTTTTTTTTATTATTTTTTTTTTTAAATTCTCACTTTTTATTTAATTTACTTTGTTTTTTAATTTTTCAGGAGTTTTTTTATTTTCTTTAATAGTTTTTCATTTTTCACAATTCTTGTATCAATGTTTTTATTTTACTTTCACTTTTTTTTAAAATTCTTATTTGTAAACTACCGTAATCTAGTGATCCGCGTCGCGGGCTTTAGGGGCTGTAACATAACGTTACGTCCTTTTCACAATTAAGTTACTGGGGCGCCACCTGAAGGCTTGACTTTTGTCGGAAATCCTTTCTTCGGGTTTCGAGTACCTGTTTAAAAACAGGTCCCTGCTCTCGGGCGCCAATTAATTCAATGTTAATTTATTTATTTTTTTAAAAATTTGTGATTGCTGCTTACTGCAAGCAATCACGTCTTTATTGGTTAAGGTTCCGGACTACAAAGTAAATAATGAAATAAAACTTCCCTAACTTATACTTTGGATTCATGCACCCAGATGATACTGGACACCTGCTCGTGTTGGCGATGGAATGTTGCTGTCTGCCTGTTGGATGTTGTTGTCAGTGTTTCGGTGGGAACTGCAGTGTCAGCAAAATGACACGCTTATACTTTGGTTGATGAATTCTTTGGGTTGCTAATGTTGAATTTGAATATGTCTGGTGTTAACTTATATATATATATATATATATATATATATATATATATATATATATATATATATATATATATATATATATATATATGTGAACCCCTCCTCATTCACAAAGGGTCACAATTTTCAACACTTTTATCTGTCTGAGATAAAAATTGAGTTTATGATTTTCCATAAATTGGATATAAATGTTGGATTTTGTTGTTATTGTCCATACCAATATTTTTATCTGTATTAGATGATATTTTTATCTGTATTTAAAAATGGAATACTTCGGTCGACTATATCTGGTACCACACGCACATGTTAACATTTTCTAAAAATTATCACATATCTCATGTAAAGTGAATGAAGTTATCAATATAGTACAAACCTGGTCCGTCGCAATATTTATATTATATTTAGTTTGGTCCTATACGAAATGGTCAATATTGGGTCATTCCTTCGGAATGTTGTCAAAATATTTTGAAATAATCGTACATTGGCTGAGGGTATATATCTTTCGGCTTTGGCTTGTTGTTTCAAATTCCTTTACGCATTCCAAATTTGGAGACTGTATCTTTAATCGATCAATAGATATGTGCATATAAAATCTATTTTTTTGGGAGGTACCTCCGATTCTGATGCTATATTTCCAGTTCCAAGTGGAATTTCAAAAATTTATATAGCCTACATTACTTTCAGGCGATGTTGTAGTATACTTGAAAATTTTCAGGAAAATCAGTTCAGCGGTTTTCGAGTCCATAAAATACAAACAAACATACAAACAGTTTCCTCTTTTATAGATATAGATTTTCCAACAGAATTACTTAAAATTCTGTATTTAGATTTTGAAATGGGTTCTGTCTTCTGTGACAAAGCTTTGTATATATATCGCTTCAATATTTTATTATAGACTCCATAAAATTCTGTCAACAAACTTCATAATGAGAAAAAATTGTATAATTGACTGTATTAATCACTTATTTTAAATACTAACTTGTAAATACGGAGTGTCCAAATAAATACCAACCATCACCGCATAGAGTGCCGCCGAACAAACTTTTAGGAAAATTTATTATTCCCAAATATTATTATATCACGGCGACAAGGTCACAGGCCGTATATCTTTGGTCATGATGTTTGTGATGATGATGTTTGTTGTTATATAAAACAACTGTAAACACTTTTCCCCTCAATACAACTCGTAATTAGCATATTTTGTTCATCATTTTTAATAGCACTGGAAATATGAATTTATTTTGATTTCCTTAACGGATGTGGCTAAAATTCGGATGTGGAAAATGCTGAATGCAAATGTTACCATTTATTATTTGGCTTTTCTTTCCCCGTTTTTTTCTCCTTGTTGTTTTTTATGGTTAAAAATTGTTGTAATTCCCGAAATGTGTTATCCAGTTAACGATAACCTCGAAATATTGAGAAAAAGCGCCATAACATAAGACGCTTATACCGGTGATGCTGATGCAATGAGACCAACATCGATTGTTACATCTTTACCTCTAGCATCACCTGTTTGCTGCGAGTTTGTGTGACTGGTGGTGTGGTGCAGACCGATCAATGGGGTTCGTGCGTCGAGCACACTTGAATCAAGCCAACAACTACTGATGCTGCTGCTTCACTCACTTGCTATTAACTTGAATTATCTTCATTGAAAGACGCAAAAAATTGAAACAACACTGGTATGTTGGCTGGCTGGTTCATTCGTTGGTTACGTTGAGGTGTTTGGTCTTTGGCGTTTGTCTGGTATTAGGAAGTTGGCATAAAACCGTTGTACCCGCTGCCATAGCTTTCAGTTTCTGTAAAGACTACGTGCGGCAAACAACAAATGTGAAATTAAAAAAAGCAAATCTGATAGCTTTTGAGAAAAGACGGTAAAATACAGCCAAATTATAGGTTGTGCAAAAGAAAAGAGTAGTGAACAAAATCAAAACGGAGGCAATAAACAGATATTACGCATCAAATTACTATTGCAAAATACAGTGATAAATGAGTGAATATTTTTGATTTTTTTTTTCGAAAATTGAACCGCCGCAAAAAGGACATTTTATAAAATAATAAAAAAGAAATTACCGAAACATCATGTTGGTTGTAAGTAAAATCATTACCAGAAATATGGACTTAATAAAATCGAAATGAAAAAATTGAAAAATATTTGAAAGAACATATGTTATTAACGAGAAGTGATAAAATCATATTCTGAATTGAAATAATAATTTTTCTAACGGAGACAATACAGACAATATTACAGACATGAAAAAAAACACCTACCTGCTTAGTTTGCATTCAACTAAATAAAGAGCATTTTTTCAAGGTTTAAAAATTTTCAACCGGACTATTGCAAATAACTGACAAAACTGAAATCGAATACAAATAAAAAATGATTTAAATATTAATCAAACAATTATCATTAATTAAAAAACTTAATCAGTCTCTTGTCTCATGTTGGATAAAAATTGTCTCTAAAATAGAGTGAAAACCCCAAATAATGGTGTCAAAAATGGCACCATTTGATGCAATGAAATAACATTGACAGACATTTTAAAATATGAAGAGTTTGAAGAAAATCGGTGCAAATTTTATATTTTAGTGGAGTTTAAAATATTTAAAATTAATTTTAATACAACAACATCCCTTTTCGCACCGATATACGGCGTTCTAACAAAATCGAAAGCTTCCTTAGCTCCGCTTAAGACACATGATTTGTATTCACTCAGTCATATGGCTACAGAGGTACAGATAAAATGTGCTTTATCGAAATAACGTTTTTAGACAAAAGACCTCCTTCGAGGAAATCCGTTTAAGATATTTGGAGTAGATTTGAGTTCTGATATGGCTTCACCTTCAAAAGTTAAAAGTTAATGGAAAATAATTTACCTCTTATAAAGAGAAAGAATCATTCGATTTAGTTCAAAACCTGCAAATCATAATATTTAAATCAGCTATAACAATGGGATAATATGGGCACACTTCTTCTAAACCTACCCCCATAAAGGGTTCCAAATTTGAATAATCATAACTCTTATAAAATGGGAAATAAGTGCCTTATTGTCTATAAATTCCGCATATATAAATATTTCTACCAATTTTAGATCAGGTAGAACAGAATGAATGACTATTTCTTGTACCTTAGTATCAATATTTTAAATGAATATAACTCTTATACATTTTTTTTTTATTAAAAAATGTTTCGAAAATTAAAATACCAAGTTTAGGTTATATGAAAACTTAGACAAGTATAGACAATTATTAGCCAAAGAAAAATATTGCGAACACTAAATACCAAATTGAAGTATTTGGAGGTACCGTAATATGGGCGCTATAGAAAAACGTGAACTTATATAGAAATTTTCTGTTTTAGATCAACAAAGTTCCGATTATTGAGAGGTACCGTTATGTGGGAGCATAGATAACCACGAATGCCTTTCCTTCGCATTCGATAAATGACTTTTTATACTTAAAAGTAAAACAGTGTTGGCTTGTTTGTTCGGGATACCATAGTACTTTGTGTTGCAAAATGGTCAGGCTTAATCCCTTTATTGTTGTTTTTATAAAAACAACGTTTATTTATTAGTGGAGAACGATGGTAATGTTTACCAGGGGGTAAGGCAGGGAATACCTAGGTTTCGGAAAGAGCCACCAATCCTCATCAGTTCCCTTATTTTTTGTCTGGGATGTTCTACCCAGAAGTTATTTTAAAACTAAGTTCTATGACAAAATTTTTTTTTACCCAAGTGACGAGATCGTAAGCTCAATAGAAGAGGAACCAAAGAAGTAAATTAAACTAAAACTCTTTCGGAAAATCCTACAACCGCACTTATAAACATTTTCATCTTTCTCCGCTTGTTATGCTTTCGTTTAATATGAACGAAGTAGCATAACCATGTAAGTTGGTTTTGTCTGTTACAACAAAAACCCTCTCGTCGACCGTGCCTTGTCTATTAATAGAACAGTGATGGCTTGTTTGTTCGGGATACCATAGTATTTTGTTGTTACAAAATGGTCAACAAATTATATCGATCTTCTCGCATGTCCATCTCTCAGCCAATCCCATAATTTGTAATTACTCTACAGGTCGCAATTCTAACAGTTTGAATGGGTTCTGACCCATGACAGTTATATGGGGGCTATTAAAAGACTTGCTGCTACCTTGAATTTTCAATCCCAGGAAACTTGCAGACATAATATAAAATAAAGAAAATTTAAGACGAACAAATGTAAACAAACTTGGGATTTAATCTGATCACGAATATTAATACTTTACGATGAGTTACAATAGGGATGACAAACTTTTTATAGCCTAGACACGATATATGGTGGAGGGTTTTCAATATAAAAACCAGCTTAGAAATTGGACCCTCCGATATTCTCTTAACATCCTACAAATTTTCTCTTAACATATTTTAATATTCCAACAATATTTTTATACCCTACACCATATAGTGGTAAGGGTATTGTGCATTTGTTTGTAATATGGAGAAGGAAGCGAGATAGACCCATCTTCATAGAATCACTTTCGCATTTATTTATTTATTATCCGATTGAGATGTAATTTTGAACACAATATTTGTTTCTCCCAGGGACGAATCCTATTGAAATTGGTGTAATCGGATCAGATTAAGATATAGCTCCCATATATCTTCAACCGATTTCGGGTTAATTGTGCACCAAATAAGTCCAAATGACCTAGATTTTGGTACATCACACCAAATTCAGGCTAGAAGCAAGTAAATCAAATTTGGATTGGATTTGAAAATCGGTTCAGATATAGCTATAGCTCCCATATATATATTCCATCCGAATTTGGGTTTTAAGTCCCTCACATGCGTAATATACACTCCAGAAGAATGATATTTGGTATCTCAGATACTGCTCAAAAATACCCTTGTCAAATTGTGTCGAGATCGGTCCAGATTAGAAAATAACTTTCATATATATCTTTATCCGATATTAGGTTTATTGTACCAACAGTCACAATCTTTTGATTTCATTCATTTTTACACATTATGAAACTACTCTATAAAATCTGATCGATTTGTTGTATAGAAACATTTTAGCACACCTTCCCATACATGTGGAACCGTGAGAATCGGAAGGTGAGAATCGGTTCAGTTTTAGCTGTCATATATATGTTTCATCCAAGAACGTAATCAGGTACAGCTTAGAAATACCTATTACGCAACTTACTAGAGGTCATTTACACTATAAAAATTCCATCCGATGTAAATTTAAACTGCTTTAAAGTCGTAACATGCAATCAAGAACGACCCTAGTTGGTATGAATTACTTCAAATGAGTTTTCATTATGTTTGAATCTAAAGTGATATAATTAAATTGCAACATTCCAAATTTATGTTATGTTCTAATGTTAATTTCACAAAAATCTATTTTGAATTATGGCACTATTCTAAATGCCACTTGTCAGCCACACCACAACTCAATTGCCAAAATTTGAAATATAAATTAAACTTATTATGTCTGTTATAATGAAGTAAGCGAATGGTATCAAATGTGTGTGGAATACCATTCGAATGGGATTTAAATAAAGAGAGGAAATGAATGGCAAATAATTAGCAACTAATAACACTATATGTGTACTCGTATGAATGTACGCGTGTATACCTAAAATTAAATGTTTATGTTTGCCATGGCTTAATTTATGCCACAACGTTTGGTTTTGCTATAAAAGACAAGTCGGAGTGTAAAATTTTGAATTTCATATAATCCACTTTTCTTGTGTTGATTTTGAAAATGAAGAGAAATAATTTTACAATTTAATGGGCAGCACACACTAGTCTTGACGGTTTATGAGGGGATGAAAAAAAAAAAACAGTTTTATCAGAGTCCAAAGAGAACTACAACACCTTGAATTTTTTGTTCATTTTTGGCATTCTTTATAGTTAATTTTTGTGGAAACGGACGGGACACAGCTTCCAATAATTATAATATTGTCATTACATGTTTGTGTCATTGAGAAAAACAGATAATAACAGAAGCTTAAAAAATTGTAATCATTCATAAGCTTTACCCAAATATTTTTCTTGTTCGCCATTAGAGAGACAAAAGCTAGCTTTTAGAGCAATTTGTTTTTTGTCAATCAAATTATTTATATATGGGAAATTTAAATTTTCTTTTAAAATTCCATAAAAAAACCAAAACATTTATGAGCACATCAACGATTTCTGGTACATGGGTGAAGAAATGAAACTGGTTCCAAATCTGTTTGGATTAGCAAAATTGGTTGTTAAGTTTAAGTATGAAAGTAATATAAAATACTTATTCAATATTAATATGTACCATACAAAATATCATCAATATTTTTATACCCTCCACCATGGGTAGGAGGGTATATTAACTTTGTCATTCCGTTTGCAACACCTCTAAATATTCGTCGTAGACCCCATAAAGTATATATATTCATAATCAGCATAAAATTCTAAGACGATTTAGCGATGTCCGTCTGTCTGTCTGTCCGTCTGTCTGTCTGTCTGTCTGTCCGTCTGTCTGTCTGTTGAAATCACGATAGAGCCCACATTATTTGACGTAGACCTTTGAAATTTGGCACAAGTGTGTGTATTGTCTCTAGGATGGTTGGTATTGAAAATAAGATATATCGGTCCACGTTCTGGTATAGTCCCCATATAACGGTACCTCCCAATATTCGGTATTTTTATGATTTATGCCACACTTTTTCACGGATTTATCTGAAAATTGGTATTAGTAGGTCATGACGGGTCCCTGAGCGTGTGGCAAAACATTGCATGTATAGGTCCACGTTTTGGTATAGCCCCCATATAACGGTACCTACCGATATTCGGTATTTTGATGATTTATGCCACATTTTTTCACGGATTTGTCTGAAAATTGGTATTTGTAGGTCACAACGGGTCCCTGAGCGTGTGGCAAAACATTGCATGTATAGGTCCACGTTCTGGTATAGTCCCCATATAACGGTACCTCCCGATATTCGGTATTTTGATGATTTACGCCACATTTTTTCACTGATTTGTGTAAAAGTTGGTATTTGTGGGTCATAATGGGTCCTAGTTCGTGTGGCGAAACATTGTAATTATAGGTGCACGTGTTGGTGT